AGGGGTGATAATACAGCATGATAGGTTAGTAAACAAAATTGAGATCCTGTATCGTACCTGTGAGTGGACTGTCTCCTTTTCATCATGTTGTGCTGGTGGTAGGTGGTCACAAAAACACATAAAAAATGCTGTATCAAATCTTATCTTCAAACTCGCTGGTGTGAGCCAATTAGACCATTCGCTTAATGACCACACATCAGGTACACTGTCAAGCTCCCTGTAATGGCATAGCAATTTTAAAAACATTATTTACAAAGATTATTGATAATATACATTCACTTTGATATCTTAAATGGATTGTTGTGATGTAATTTTGCTGGCACTTCATGCATGTGTACTTATGGCAAACACAGGTAACCCATGCCTAAATGTATGAGACTGAAATTTCCAAAGGAATATGAAATAAATCTACTTTTATTACTCCTTKCAGATAACTTGCTTGCTTTGCTGACTTTCTTAATGGATTTGTGATCCCAATATATATAAAAATATATTTTATTTTGAAAATCATCTGAGTTAACAGTGTTCCATGCATTATATTATAACTATCACAAATGATTCTGGTTTTCCTGTGCTTTTAATAAAAATGAACTATGTCCAGTGTCGTCTGTGATATTACACTATTACCTGCATAATTCTATGAATCKTGAGGCATCTTTATGCACATCCWCCCTCCATTTACTAATTTCCTGAAAGGAAAGGCTTTCTTCCACACCAACACATCCATTTGRTGCCAATGGCTGCTCAGAACTATCACCAGATAACTTCTTTAGAAGTAAAACACCTGATTCCTCAAAGGTTTCTCGTATGGCGCAAATCCTGAATGCAACCTCRCTTGGTATGATTGATTTGGATTTTTTAAAAATCGGTGGCCTTGGGCCTTTTATGTCCAAAAGACTGGAGAAGTCTCTACCAAATGCTTGAAACGATTTATGATAAAGATCCATCCATTGATCATCARAGTCTGCACTGTCAATAACACCACCAGGAAATACATAATTGCCTGGCTTGAAAGATCAATGGAATATTTAAGTAAATTGTGATTTTTTTGAAAGTGGTCCTACGTTAGGAGTGGTTGATAGAGCAGGGGAAGGTGGGTTGGGGACAGAGTGTACTTTATATTACTAGAAGATGCTACAACTGCACCTTAAACGAGTGATCGACGTTACCTGATCATGACAAAACACRAAATCAATAACTATTTACAATAATAATTACCATAAATCTACTCTTCGGACTTCTTTGCAACATTAAAACCCTGTAATCAAAGATGCCATTTCTTTCTTTGACGACGTTACGGCTGACAATTATTAGAGTTGCAGACTCTCGCCATAGTCGAGTGGCTCTACTCGCCATCCAGATTTTAGATGTGTAAAGATGTTCCTCAAGAAAACAAATACTTTGCGTAATTCAAACGATATTACTTCTCTATATTAATAGGACACTCAGAGCATTCATTTGTCTCAATTTCGTAAGGAAAATAAACCTGAAAATATTAATTTTCACAAGAATTGTCGAGGAATCTTCTCCTTGTGCTGCTTCTGGTGTCTTTATCTGTGYGGAGTTCCTGTGTATTCCACAGGAGGCCCAATAATATTTACTTATCTTCACAAGTTGTAAAAAGAATAATCATGTTCTAGGGTTACAACCAAGAATCTACTGGGAAATAATATTTTTACACCATGAGAGACTGGAAGAATATATTATTTTCATCTATTGAAAATACTTTCCTTTCACTATTTGGGTTTCCTGTGGTAGCATGTGCTCGAGCCAGTTTCCTCTCGGTTGAGTAGAATTTTCTGCACAAATTGTTTGGAATTGTTGCAGTTTTGGGGTAATTTTTTTGTATTATCTGTAATGTAAACTGGCATTCCTCTGAAGAGGAAGTTTGTAAACATGAGTTCGAACTATGTGAGAAAAATGACGTTGCTTCGTGCGAGGATTTTTGGCAAATTAACAAGGCCTGTAACAGAAAGGTATTAAGAGGTTAAATATTTGTGAGCACTCTGTTTTAATAGCTCTCTCTTCTATTTAGATTTAATTTAACACTATAATTTGCATTAAAAAGCAATTATGCTGCGTATAATGTAATTTTAGAATAGTAAAATATCTAATCTCAATGTGAATTTGTTGTGCTTGTTTTTACTGAATGAATGATCATCATCTTCGTACAGGTCCTTCAAAGTTGTTAAATTCTACAGTAAAAGGCCTTTGGGTGACGCTATCAATAAATATTACCCCCCTTTAAAGATGTTTAACTCTTTATTRTTGAAACTGCGKCATCTTGGCTTTTACAGGGATGATCACTTGGTGAGTTGACACTCAGTTTTTATAGACTAAAGTGTTATTTAATATATGACTTATTTTACAATTAGTATAAATTGAAAAAAAAACATACATAAATTTATCTATGTATAATCTATTCTCATAGGATTACAGAGAAGAAATGGCAGTTAGGAGAAAGGAAAGAGGGAAAGGACCACCGAAAAAAGGTTTAATATCATTTGATATCTCACTACAGTGTAATTCATAAG